CCAAAAGAACCTCATATACTTAGTGTCACTCTCCATCTTCCCTGCAGCCCCTAATCACTAAGCTACTTTCTGTGCCTGTTCTGCACATTTCATGGAAAGGGAATCATATGCTATGTGGACCTTTGTGACTTGCTTCTTAGCGTGAGGTTTTCAAGGCTCATCCATGGTGTATCATGTGTCAGTACTTCACTCATTTTTATTGCTAAATAATATTCCACTGTATGGATAGACTACATTTTGTGTTTATTCATTCTTCAGTTTTTGGCAATTTGAGTTGCTTCCACTTTTTGGCTGTTATGAATAATTCCATTTTAATTTTATTTTTAAATTAATTTGAGATGGCATGTTCTTGGCTCACTGCAGCCTCCATCTCCGAGTTCAAGTGATCTTCCCCTCTCAGCCTCCCTAGTAGCTGGGACTACAGGGGTATGCCACCACACTTGGCTAATTTTTGTATTTTTAGTGGAGATGGGGTTTCACCATGTTGGCCAGGCTGGTCTCAAACTCCTGACCTGAGCTGATCCACCTGCCTTGGCCTCCCAAAGTGCTGGGATTACGGGCGTGAGCCACCGCACTCGGCCAAATAATGCCATTATTAACATTCATGTACTAGTAAGTTTTTGTGTGAACATATGTTTCCATTTCTCTTAAGTATATACCTAGAAGTGGAATTGCTGGGTCATATGATAACTGTTGAACGTTTTGAGGGGGTGCTAGACTGTTCTCCAAAGTGACTCCACTACTTTACATTCCCACCAGCAACATGTAAGTGTTCCAGTGTCTCCACAGCTTTGCCAACACTTGCTGTTGTCCATCCTTTAAAGTATAGCCCTGCTAGTGGGTCCGAAGTGGTTTCTTGTGGGTTTGATTTGTGTTTCCCTAGTGACTAATGATGTTAAACATCTTTTCTTGTGCTTATTGGTCATTTGTATAGCTTTCTTTTTTTTTTTTTTTTTGAGACTGTTTGGGTCTTGTTTCCCAGGCTGGAGTGTGGTGGCATGATCTCAGCTCTACAACCTCCACCTCCTGGGTTTAAGTGATTCTCGTGCCTCCGCCTCCCGAGTAGCTGGGATTGTAGGCATGCGCCACCATGCCCAGCTAATTTTGTATTTTTAGTAGAGATGGGGTTTCTCCATGTTGGTCAGGCTGGTCTTGAACTCCCAACCTCAGGTGATTTGCCCACCTCGGCCTCTCAAAGTGCTGGGATTACAGGCATGAGCCACCTGGCCCAGTTCATTTGTATATCTTCTTTGGAGAAATGTCTATTCAAATCCTTTGCCCATTTTTTAATTGAGTTATTTGTCTGTTTCTTATAAAATTGTAAGAGTTTTTAATATATTCTAGATACAAGTTCCTTATCAGTTACATGATTTGCACATATTTTCTTTCATTCTGTGGGTTGTCTTTTTGCCTTCTTTGTGATATTGTTGGCAGCACAGAATTTTTAAATTTTGCTGTAGTCTAATTTGTCTTGATTATGCTTAAAATCTAAGATTCAGTAACAGAGTGGTGATGCCATTATCAAGGTTACGAGATGCAGAAGGGAAGGGTAGGTGTTTCACGGGCGGGAAGTACTTAGGCAACAGAAGGTAGTGAATTCCATTCTGGGTATAGTGAGTTTTAGGTGCAGAGGAGACAATCAGAGAAAGAGATGCCAAGCAGACATCCGACAATATGGTTAGGTGTGGAGGAAAGAAGTCTGGAGATGAAGGAGGAGCCTTAGGAGGCATCGTCTTAGAAGTAACAAGTGAAGCTATAGACATAGGTGAGATAAAAAATGAGCTAGGTGTAGTGGCACGTGCCTATAGTCTCGGCTACTAGGGAGACTGAGATGGAGGATTGCTTGAACCTGGGTGGCGGAGGTTGCAGTGAGCCGAGATGATGCCACTACACTCCAGCTTGGGCAACAGAGTGAGACTCCATCTCAAAAATAAAAAGGAAGAGGTCACTGAGGGCCTTTGGGGTAGCAAAGGGCTGTGGGGTAGCAAATCTGGACTGAGGCTGTCAGAGTGAGCAGGAAGGCAGCACCAAGAAATATTAAGTAGTTTTTTAAACTAGGGGAAAGTGGAGTAGCCCAACAGAAATGCCGAGTGACAAAAAGGTTTTTTTTTTTGTCTTTTTATTTTTATTTTATTTATTTATTTATTTATTTATTTGAGATGGAGTTTCGCTCTTGTAACCCACGCTGGGGTGCAATGGCACGATCTTGGCTCACCGCAACCTCCGCCTCCTGGGTTCAGGCAATTCTCCTGCCTCAGCCTCCTGAGTAGCTGGGATTACAGGCACGCACCACCATGCCCAGCTAATTTTTGTATTTTTGGTAGAGACGGGGTTTCACCATGTTGACCAGGATGGTCTCGATCTCTTGACCTCGTGATCCACCCGCCTTGGCCTCCCAAAGTGCTGGGATTACAGGCTTGAGCCACCGCGCCAGGCTATTTTTATTTATTTATTTATTTTTTTTAAGGCAGAGTTTTGCTATGTCACCAGGCTGGAGTGCAATGACGCAATCTCGTCTCACTGCAACCTCCACCTCCAGGGTTCAAGCAATTCTCCTGCCTCACCCTCCCAAGTAGCTGGAACTATAGGTACATGCCATCACACCCAGCTAATTTTTGTATTTTTAATAGAGACAGGGTTTCACCAAGTTGGCCAGGATGGTCTTGATCTCTTGACCTCATGATCTGTCTGCCTCAGCCTCCTAAAGTGCTGAGATTACAGGCGTGAGCCACCGTGCCTGGCCTTGTCTTGTTTTTTAAGATTGAGAGTGAGTGTCTGAAGGGAAGGAGAAATGAAAGATTCAATGGTAGGGATTAGTTGATGGGACAAAGTCTTTACAGATGGAAGAGACCGTGAGTGGAAGAGTTGGTCTTCCCAAGTTAATTTCACCACATTACTGTTTTTGTTTGTTTGATTTGGTGGTGTTTTGTTTTCTAAGGCAGATTTCCTAACATCCTTTAGTACAGTATTGGGGGCATCAGTTTGGGAAGTGCTGGTCTAGTCTAAGAGCATCTTAAGGACAGGGATCTCATTCATCTGAGTTGTGGCCGTGGAACATAATAGTAATGATGATAGGAAGAGGTGGACAAAGTAAGGAAAGGAAGAGCATTCACCCCGACCGGGGAGATGACGCAGTAAGTGTGCTGTGGGTGCAGGCAGAGATGGAGGAGTGAAGCCGGAGTTCACAGTCAGTGGCCCCCATCCTGTCAGCTGTGCAGAGACACAACCAACTCCCTAGAGCACATGGGGTGGAGGTGCCACTGTCAGCCTTTTCTGCCCTTACTCTTTCACTCGCATTTTAATATATGCACAGGATATGAATGCCTTGCCATTGCAGACATTTGAGTAGCACACCCCTGCTGGTCTTTAACACTATTTTTTGCATTTCCAGTTGATGCTTTCTGAGTGGTTAATTGATGTCCCTTCAGATTTGGGGCAGGAATGGATTGTGGTCGTGTGCCCTGTTGGAAAGAGAGCCCTTATCGTAGCCTCCAGGGTGAGTAGCTGCCTGCCCCCTATGCCAGTAGGCCTGGTCTTTAGCAGGAGGGATTCTTTGTGCTCCATTTACCTTATCCGCCACAGCAGCCGTGCCCGGAGTGGAGCTTAAAAACACTTCCCTGCAGGAAGGTTTGTTGAGAGCCATCTTTGGTCTGGTGACATCCCTGCAGAATGAGGAAGCAAGAGGGTGAGGAGGGCCGGGCGCGGTGACTCAAGCCTGTAATCCCAGCACTGTGGGAGGCCGAGGCGGGTGGATCACAAGGTCAAGAGATCGAGACCATCCTGGTCAACATGGTGAAACCCCGTCTCTACTAAAAATACAAAAAATTAGCTGAGCATGGTGGCGCGTGCCTGTAATCCCAGCGACTCAGGAGACTGGGGCAGGAGAATTGCCTGAACCCGGGAGGCGGAGGTTGCGGTGAGCCGAGATCGTGCCATTGCACTCCAGCCTGGGTAACAAGAGTGAAACTCCGTCTCAAAAAAAAAAAAAAAAAAAAAAAGAGGGTGAGGAAACCCTGTGGTCTAATGAGAATGGTAACTTTCTCTCCACACAGGGTTCTACCAGTGCCTACACCAAGAGTGGCTACTGTGTCAACAGGTTTCCCTCCCTTCTGCCAGGAGGCAATCGGCAAAACTCAACAGCAAAAGGTACCTATATAGAATATCTACGTATTAATCAGTAAAAGACAGTGTAATTTGCTTTAAAGACCCACTTTGATATCTTATCTTTGTTTATTTTTGTTTGTTTTTTGAGACGGAGTCTCACTTTGTCGCCCAAGCTGGAGAACAGTAGTGCAATCTTGGCTCACCGTAACTTCTGCCTCCCAGGTTCAAGCGATTCTCCTGTCTCAGCATCCCGGGTAACTGGGATTACAGGCATGTGCTATTATGCCCAGCAATTTTTGTATTTTTAGTAGAGACTGGTTTTCACCATGTTGGCGAGGCTGGTCTCGAACTCCTGGCCTCAAAGTGATCCACCCGCCTTGGCCTCCCAAATTGCTGGGATTACAGACTTGAGCCACCGCATCCGGCCTGAAAGCTTATCTTTGAAACTACATATAGACACCATCCTGGCCCCTGGACAAAGGACCTCCCCTTCAAGGACAGGCCTTCTCAGTTGCAGAATAAATGCAGCCCCATGAGGCCCGATGGGCCATAAATTCCTCAATTAAGATCAACATGCCTTTGGACTTCTATTACAGGACAACAGATGCAGATTTGGGGGGAAAGGTCCCTGAGAGAATGCCAAGAATAATGGTAGAGTCAGCTGATGCTGGGGAAGCTGGGCTTCCCTGCCAAACTCCCTTTTCTCCTTTCTCATTGTTGCAACCTTAGCTTCTTCCTCCCCACTGGGCCCAGCTAAGTAGACTAAGGTCCTGCAGGAGAAATAACTTACCGACAATTCAGCAAGAAATTGTCGGAGCCGGGCTTGCTTGCTTCCCTACCTTCTCAGGCTCCTTTGGTATTGTTCCTCATGTCCTCTGCACTGAGTCCAGACTTCTCTCTCTCTCTTTTTTTTTTTTTTTTTTTTGGCACGGTCTCATTCTGTGACCCAGGCTCTGGGGTTGAGGGGCACAATCACAGCTCACTGCAACCTTTACCTCTCAGGCTCGAGTGATCCTCCCACCTCAGCTTCCTGATTAACTGGGACTACAGGAGTATGCCATCACGGCTGGCTACATTTTGTATTTTTGGTGGAGATGGGATTTTGCCATGTTGCCCAGGCTAGTCTGGAACTCCTGGGCTCAAGCCATCTGCCTGCCTCAGCCTCTCAAAGTGTTGGGACTACAGGCGTGAGCCGCTGCGCCTGACCTAGCTCTGACTTCTCTCTTTGTGTTTAGAACTTTTCACATGCAGGCTTTGTCCCACCCATCCCATGTCTTTACCCTAATCCTTGTACCCACCTTCTGTTCGGCTGACTTGCCTCCCCACATGTGCCCCATTCATTCTGCCTCTGGGCCAATGCTCATGCCACATCAGTACTTGGGTCTGAAACGCCCTCCCTTCTCCCCTCCCCCCTCTGTTTTTTAAATCCTCCTGGTCCCAGAAGACTCTATTTATATCGTGTCTCTCCCTTGAAGCATTTCCTGCTATTCCAGCCTTCTCTTTCTGGAGCTCCTGTTGCTCTTAGTATGAGCTTTGTGATTCAGCTCTTCGCTCTTTCCTCTGTGATCATTCTATACCCTTAACCAAATGGTAACTTCCTTAAAAGCAGGGAATACTTATAGTTAATATTCCCCACATAACACAGTGCCTATGATAGGAACTCAAAAAGCAGTTGTAAACTAAAATGGAAGATGACTTGCTTTTAAACCTCTCTGAGTTGAGTAAATATGCCAGTTTATCTAAAACTTCAGATTTCTCACTTGGCCTTGATCCGTCTTGTGCTGTCTTACCCGAGTCACCATGAAGCTGTAACTGGCAGCCAGACAGGATTCTCTCCCCAGTGAATCCTTAGTCCTTAGTGCCAGTGACTGCTGCAAGCACTGGGGATTGTTGGACCTGAGCCTCTAGGATGGGGCTCCCTAGGTTGTGGTGGTGGGAACCTAGTTGGAAGAAGAACTCTGTGCTGACTTTCTGCTTTGTGTCCCCAGACTATACCATTCTAGATTGCATTTACAGTGAGGTAAACCAGACCTACTACGTTCTAGATGTGATGTGCTGGCGGGGACACCCTTTCTATGATTGCCAGGTAGGGATGGATCCTCCCCTCATGGCTCTTCCTGTCTTCTCCTCTCCTCCTGGGAAAGTGGCTCAGCATGTGGGTTTGGTACGTGACCAACTTCTTGGTGTGTACAGGATGTGGTATATCAGGAACATTATCTAATGCTCCCTGCATCTTTGAGTGTGTTTAAATTAGCTTAGTTTTAAAAGAGAACTAGGAGGAACTAAGAGAAACTGCAGTTCTTGAGAGGAGGGAAGAGAGAAACGGCAGGGGTGTAGGCTGGGACTTGGTAGCAGCTGCACCCGCCCCCTTATCTCTCTCCAGAGGATGGGAGGATTTCTAGCAGTGAAGATTATAGGGCAAGGGGGTGGGGATGCCACCTTGTGCAGGCAGCCCCAGGGAGAGAAGGTGGAATGTAAGTCACCATTTGGTAGACTCTTGCAACCTCCACTCCTTCACCAACCACATCCTGACCCTGAAAATCGCAGGACCTCCTTGGTATGACCCAGAACCTCAAATCTCAAAGTTAGCTCTAAGAGGAGACATTCCAAGTGAGGAGAGGCCCCAATATTTTCCCCTTTAGTTTCACCATACCCCCAACATTTTACTATTGGTGATTCTTTTTTGTTTGTTTGTTTAAATGGATGAGAGGTTTTTATGTTGACCAGGCTGGCCTCGAACATGTAGCCTTGCCTCCTGAAGTGCCAGGACAACTGACCTGAGCCACAATGGCTCCCTACTATTGGTGATTCTTAACAGGTGACAGCAGCAGTCATCAGGTGAGGCTGAGTCAGCCCCACAGGCCTCCATCCCTGTTAACAACAGTTCTCCCCATCATTGTCCCAGTTGTATAATGGTGGGTTTGAGGGTTTTGGACTTCCTTTACTCCCCGTCAATTAGTGTATTATAGTGGTTCTCAGTGTGTACTCTCCAGACCAGGCATATCAGAAAGTTGTAGAAATGTACATTCTCAGACCTGCTAACCTGAAGCTATGCGGCCAAGGCTGATGTGTGAACAGGACTTCTGTGATCTTCATGCAGGCTGTCTCCATAGGCTGCTTCTTTTCTATAGCCATTCCCCTCCACTAGGTTTCCAAAACCTGCTAGGTATGGTACACAGAATTCTAAGATACATCTCATTCAGACAATAGCAATCATGATTTGTATTGCTAAGTACTTTGTGCATGATCACACTGAATCCCTTACAACACCTCCTTAAGGTAAGGTAAGTACTATTATTAAACTTTTTTTTAAATTTGAGATGTAGTGTCCCTCTGTCACCCAGGCTGGAGTGCAATGGTGTGATCTGGGCTCACTGCAACCTCTGCCTCCTGGGTTCAAGCAATTCTCCTGCCTCAGCCTCCTGAGTAGCTGGGATTACAGGTGTGTGCTGCCACGCCTAGCTAATTTTTTTGTTTTTAGTAGAGATGGGGTTTCACCATGTTAGCCAGGCTGTCTCGAACTCCTGACCTCAAGTGATCTTCCCACCTCAGCCTACCAAAGTGCTGGGATTACAGGCATGAGCCACTGTACCCAGCCTGTCCTTGCCATATAGATGTGGAAGCTGAGATCCTAAGAAGCACAGGTTAAGTACCTTGCCCAAGTTCAGAACCAAGCCTACAACTCAGAACATAAATTCAATGTAGAACATACTTTCCTTTAATTCTGCTGAAAGATATTATATTACATATATTCACAACCTACGAATTTGATAACTAAAACCAAATATATTTTTAAAATTTAAAGAAAAGCCTTTATGTATCTTTTTTAATTTCCGAAAGCAAAATAATTTAAAAGAATGAAGAGGCCCAGCCAGGCGCAGTGGCTCACGCCTGTCATCTCAGCACTTTGGGAGGCCAAGGTGGGTGGATCACGAGGTCGGGAGATCAAGACCATCCTGGCCAACATGGTGAAACCCTGTTTCTACTAAAAATACAAAAATTAGCCAGGTGTGGTGGCATGCGCCTGTAGTCCCAGCTACTTGGGAGGCTGAGGCAGGAGAATCACTTGAACCTGGGAGGTAGAGGTTGCAGTGAGCCAAGATCACACCACTGCACTCCAGCTTGGTGACAGAGCGATACTCCATCTCAAAAAAAAGAGTGAAGAGGTCCTAAATAAGCACAGAAGTGTATGTGTCAGTAATTCCAGAGGAAAAAAATAGTTTATGAAAAGTTACAATTGTATAGTTTCTAATACTTATGATTAAAATAAAGCAAGAAGTATTATCAGTGTCTGGGAATATTGAATTAAAAAAAATAAAAATAAAGAGGGCCAGGTGTGGTGGCTCATGCCTGTAATCCCAACACTTTGGGAGGCCAAAGTGGGAGGATCACTTGAGGCCAGGAGTTTGAGACCAGCCAGGCCAACATGGTGAAACCCTACCTCTACTAAAAATATAAAAATTAGGCAGGTGTGGTGGTGCATGCCTGTAATCCAAGCTACTCAGGAGACTGAGGTAGAAGAATTGCTTGAAACCAGAAGCAGAGGCTACAGTGAGCTGAGATCACTCCACTACACTTCAGCCTGGTGACACATTGAGATTCAGTCTCAAAAAAACCAAAAACTACTACTGGGCCCAGTGCCATGGCACATACCTGTAGTCCCAGCTACTTCAGAGGCTGAGGTAGGAGGATCGCTTGAGCCAGGAGGTCTAGGCTGCAGTGAGCTGTGGTCACACCAGTGCACTCCAGCCTGGGCCACAGAGTGAGACCCTGTCTCAAAAAGAAAAGCATGCTGGGTGTGGTGACTCACACCTGTAATCCCAGCACTTTGGGATCCTGGGGCAGGAGGATGGCTGAGCCCAGGAGTTCCAGACCACCCTGGGCAACATGACGAACCTCTACCAAAAAAAATAAATAAATGGCCAATTGCAGTGGCTCATACCTGTAATCCCAGCACTTTGGGAGGCCGAAGTGGGCGGATCACTAGGTCAGGAGTTTGAGACCAGCCTGGCCAACAGTGAAACCTCGTCTCTACTAAAAATACTAAAAAAATTAGCCAGCTGTGGTGGCATGCGCCTATAGCCCCAACTACGTGGAAGGCTGAGGTGGGAGAATTGCTCGAACCCAGGAGGCAGAAGTGTCACTGGGCCAGCCGAGACCACGCCATTGCACTCCACCCTGAGTGACAGAGTGAAACTCCATCTAAAAAATAAACAAATAAGCCAGGTGTAGCAGTGTGCACCTGTAAGTCCCATCTACTATGGAGGCTATGATGGGAAGATCCCTTGAACCCAAGAAATCAAGGCTGTAGTGAGCCATGATCACATCACTGCACTCTAGCCTGGGTGACAGAGCGAGAGACCCTGTCTCAGAAAAAAAAAAAACCTACTGGATTTTAAGAAACATGTTCAAAGATTTTACAAATATCTTTCTGACATTATGGTTTTAAGGGAAATGGGAGTGAGAATAGAAGGGCTTTGGGAGTCCAGGCATGGCGGCTCACGCCTGTAATTCCAGCACTTTGGGAAGCTGAGGTGGGTGGATCACCTGAGGTCAGGAGTTCAAGATCTGCCTGACCAACATGGTGAAACTCGTCTCTACTAAAAATACAAAAATTAGCCAGGCATGGTGGTAGGCACCTGTAATCCCAGCTACTTGGGAGGCTAAGACAGGAAAGTCACTTGAACCCGTGAGGTGGAGGTTGCATTGAGCCAAGATCACACAATTACATTCCAGTCTGGGCAACAGAGCAAGACTTCATCTCAAAAAAAGAGTGTTTTTGTTTATATTACAGTTTAAAATGGAAAGTATTTCATCTGTCTATTTCCCTTCTCTGTGGCAGACTGATTTCCGATTCTACTGGATGCATTCAAAGTTACCAGAAGAAGAAGGACTGAAAGAGAAAACCAAGCTCAATCCTGTAAGGCCTGCCGGGCAAGATGGCCCATGCCTGTAATCTTAGCACTTCGGGTGGCCAAGGCGGGCAGATTACCTGAGGTCAGGAGTTCAAGACCAGCCTGGCCAATATGGTGAAACCCCGTCTCTACTAAAAATACAAAAATTATCCGGGTGGTGGCAGGTACCTGTAATCCAGCTACTCAGGAGGCTAAGGCAGGAGAATCACTTGAACCTGGGAGGTGGATGTTGTAGTAAGCCGAGATTTCGCCATTGCACTCTAGCCTGGGAGAGTTCATCCCAAAAAAAAAAAAAAAAAAAATCCTGTAAGACCTGGTGTTAGGATCACAAAGTTCTTTATGGGGAGTGGTGTGGAGTGGTATGGATTGGTCTGTTATCTAAATATGATCATTATGAATGAAATGATCTTTTTCGAGACAGCATGGTATGAAGGGAAGAGTATCAGTTTAACAGTCATGCAGATCTGAATTCCATTTTTGGCTTTAATTATTATTAGTTTAATAGCCTGTGTTCTCACTCATAATTGGGAGCTAAGCTATGAGGATGGAAAGGCATAAGAATAGTACAATGGACTGCGGGAACTCAGGGGAAGGGTGAGAGATAATTGTGTATAGTGTACACTGCTTGGGTGATGGATGCACCACATCTCAGAAATCACCATTAAAGAACTTATTCATGTAACCAAACACTACCTGTTCCCCAAAAACATACTGAAATCATAGTAACTAAAAAACAGACTCAAGAAAAGCTTATAGGTTAAGTTAATAATCTCACTTAGCCTTAGTTTTTTCATCTGTAAAACAGGATAATATCTAATTTACAAGGTGTTATAAGAACTGAATGATATAAATATACAAGTCTTCCTAACATAACACTCAGGGTAGGCACTCAATAAATAGTGGTTGATAGCCAGGTGTGGCTCATGCCTGTAATCCCAGCACTGTGGGAAGCCAAGGCAAGCAAATCACCTGAGGTTAGGAGTTCAAGACCAGCCTGGCCAACATGGTGAAACCCCATCTCTACTAAAATACAAAAATTAGCCAGGCATGATGGTGGGTGCCTGTAATCCCAGCTACTCAGGAGGTTGAGATGAGAGAATTGCTTGAACCTGGTAGATAGTGGTTTTAGTGAGCCGAGATCACACCACTGCACTTCAGCCTAAGCAGCTGAGCAAGACTCTATCTCAAAAAAAAAAAAAAAGGGGGGCCGGGCGCGGTGGCTCAAGCCTGTAATCCCAGCACTTTGGGAGGCCGAGGCAGGTGGATCACGAGGTCAAGAGATCGAGACCATCCTGGTCAACATGGTGAAACCCCGTCTCTACTAAAAATACAAAAAATTAGCTGGGCATGGTGGCGCGTGCCTGTAGTCCCAGCTGCTCAGGAGGCTGAGGCAGGAGAATTGCCTGAACCCAGGAGGCGGAGGTTGCGGTGAGCCGAGATCGCGCCATTGCACTCCAGCCTGGGTAACAAGAGTGAAACTCCATCTCAAAAAAAAAAAAAAAAAAAAAAAGTTAGTATAAATGCTACTAACTACTTTTATTAGTAATGCTATTTAGAATTCTAGGCCGGGCACAGTAGCTCACATGTATGTTCCCAGGACTTTGGGAGGCTGAGGTAGGTGGATCACTTGAGGTCAGGAGTTTGAGACCAACCTGGCCAACATGGTAAAACCCTGTCTCTACTAAAAATACAAAAAATTGCTGGGCGTGGTGGCTCACACCTATAATCCTAGCACTTTGGGAGGCTGAGGCAGGCAGATTGCCTGAGCCCAGGAGTTCAAGACCAGCCTGGGCAACGTGGTAAAACCCTGGCTCTACTAAAATACAAAAAATTAGCTGGGTGTGGCAGTATGTGCCTGTAGTCCCAGCTATTCAGGAGGCTGAGGCAGGAGAATCGCTTGAACCCGGGAGGTAGAGGTTGCAGTGAGCCAAGATTGCACCACTGCACTCCAGCCTGGGTGACAGAGCAAGACTTTGTCTCCAAAAACAAAAATAAAAAAAATTAGCCGGGCATGGTGGCGCATGCCTGTAATATTGGTTACTTGGGAGGCTGACACAGGAGAATCTCATGAACCTGGGAGGCGTAAGTTGCAGTGAACTGAGATCACGTCACTGCACTCCAGCCTGAGTGACTGAGTAAGACTCCATCTCAAAAAAAAAGCACTGATGGCTGGATGCAGTGGCTCACACCAGTAATCCTAGCACTTTGGGAGGCCGAGGCCGGCAGATTGCCTGAGCTCAGGAGTTTGAGATCAACCTGGGCAACACAGTGAAACCTTGTCTCTATTAAAATACAAAAAAATTGGCCAGGTGCGACAGCTGCTCAGGAGGCTGTAGTCCCAGCTACTCAGGAGGCTGAGGCAGGAGAATCACGTGAACTCGGAAGGTGGAGATTGCAAGGAGCTGAGATCACACCACTGCACTCCAGCCTGGGTGACAGAGCAAGATTCCATCTCCAAAAAAAAAAAATCAGCCAGGCATGGTGGTGCATGTCTCTAATACCAGTTTCTTGGGAGGCTGATGCAGAAGAATCACATAAACCTGGGAGGTGGAAGTTGCAACGAACTGAGATCATGTCACTGCACTGCAGCCTGGGCAACTGAGTGAGACTCCATCTCAAAAAAATAAAAATAAAAAAATAGTCCAGGCATGGTGGCTCAAACTGTAATCCCAGCACTTTGGGAAGCCAAGGCGGGCGGATCACTTGAGGTCAAGAGTTCAAGACCACACTGGCCAACGTGGCAAAACCCCGTCTCTACTAAAAATACAAAAATTAGCCGGGCATGGTAGCGTGCTCCTGTAATCCCAGCTACTCAGGAGGCTGAGGCAGGAGAATTGCTTGAACCTGGGAAGCAGAGGTTGCAGTGAGCCAAGATCACACGACTATACTCCAGCTTGGGCAACAGAGCAAGATTCCGTCTCAAAAAAAAAACAGAAAGAATTCGAGTTCATTGGTTCTCAAACTTTAGTATGCATCAGCAGCACCTGGAGGCCTGGTAAAACATAGACTAACCTGTAGGGTTTCTGATTCATTGGGTCTAGGGTGGGACCTGAGAATATGCATTTGTTTTTGTTTGTTTTTTTTTGAGATGGAGTCTCGCCCTGTAGACTGGATACAGTGGCACTATCTTGGCTCACTGCAACCTCCCCCTCCTGGGTTCAAGAGATTCTCCTGCCTCAGCTTCCCGAATAGCTGGAATTACAGGCACGCAACACCATGCCCAGTTAATTTTTGTATTTTTAGTAGAGACAGGGTTTCACCATGTTAGCCAGGCTGGTCTCAAACTCCTGACTTCGTGGTCTGCCCACGATGGCCTCCCAAAGTGCTTGGATTACAGGCATTAGTCACCGTACTTGGCCAGCGTCAGTAATTTTTTAAAGCTCCTCAGATGAGCAGGGCCGGATGGGAGGAAAAAAAAAAATCTCCTCAGATGAAAGGCCAGGCACAGTGGTTCACGGCTGTAATCCCAGCGCTTTGGGAGGCTGAGGCAGGTGGATCACGAGGTCAGGAGTTTGAGACCAGTCTGGCTAACATAGTGAAACCCTGTCTCTACTAAAAATACAAAACATTAGCTGGGTGTGGTGGCATGTGCCTGTAGTCCCAGCTACTCTTGAGGCTGAGGCAGGAGAATTGCATGGACCCAGGAGGCAGAGGTTGCAGTGAGCTAAGATAGCGCCATCGCATTCCAGCCCTGGCAACAGTGAGAGACTCCGTTTAAAAAAAATAAATAGGGCCGGGCGCGGTGGCTGAAGCCTGTAATCCCAGCACTTTGGGAGGCTGAAGCGGGTGGATCACAAGGTCAAGAGATCAAGACCATCCTGGTCAACACGGTGAAACCCCATCTCTACTAAAAATACAAAAAATTAGCTGGGCATGGTGGCGCGTGCCTGTAATCCCAGCTACTCAGGAGGCTGAGGCAGGAGAATTGCCTGAACCCAGGAGGCGGAGGTTGCGGTGAGCCGAGGTCGCGCCATTGCACTCCAGCCTGGGTAACATGAGTGAAACTCCATCTCAAAAAAATAAATAAATAAATAAATAAATAGATAGGCCAGGCATGGTGGCTCACGCCTGTAATCCTAGCACTTTGGGAGGTCAAGGCGGGCAGATCGTGAGGTCAGGAGTTCGAGACCAGCCTGGCCAATATGGTGAAACCCCGTCTGTCTAAAAATACAAAAATTAGCCAGGAGTGGTGGCATATGCCTGTAGTCCCAGCTACTCAGGAGGCTGAGGCAGAAAAATTGCTTGAACCTAGGAGGTGGAGGTTGCAGTTAGCCAAGATTGTGCCACAGCACTCCAGCCTGGGTAACAGAGCAAGACTTCATCTCAATAAATGAATGAGTGAATGAATGCTCCCTAGATGATTCATGTGGATAAAGAAAGGTTGGGGCTGAGTGTAGTGGCTCGTGCCTATAATCTTAGCATTATGGGAAACTGAGGTGGGAGGATCCCTTGGGCCCAGGAATTTGAGGATGCAGTGAGCCGTGATTGTGCCACTGCTCTCCAGCATGGGTGACAGGGTTCGCCCATCCCCAACCTTTTTTTTTTTAAAAAAAAAAAAAAGGAAGGTTGGGGCTGGGCGTGGTGGCTCACGCCTGTAATCCAAACACTTTGGAGGCCAAGGCGGGTGGATCACCTGGGGTCGGGAGTTCAAGACCAGCCTGACCAACATGGTGAAACCCCTTCTAAAAAAAAAAAAAAAAAAAGGTTCGGAACCACTGATCTAGTAGTTAAGAAAGTGGAGGAGGGAATTGGTAGAGAAGGATGAGACTGAAAACTTTTCTTCTTTTTTTGTTTTGTTTTTTTTCTTCTTTGTTTTTTTGTTTTGGTTTGGTTTGGTTTGATTTGGTTTGGTTTTTAAGACAGGGTCTCACTCTGTCCCCAAGCTGGAGTGCTGTGGCACTATCTCAGCTCACTGCAGCCTCCACCTCCTGGGTTCAAGCGATTTTCCTGCCTCAGCCTCCTAAGTAGCTGGGACTCCACTCCTGGATAATTTTTGTATTTTTAGTAGAGCTGGGGTTTCACCATGTTGGCCAGGCTGAGACCCAGGTCCCTGGTTTAGCTGTCATGGCTGCTTGTAAAGTGAACGGGCATCTGTGACCTCAGGTGATCTGTCTGCCTCTGCCTCCCAAAGTCCTGGGATTACAGGCATGAGCCACCATGCCGGATCTGACAGATTTTCAATTGCTTGGGCCAATATCAATTATAACATATACTAATTCCTTGTTCTAATTTCTATTTCAGTTTAAATTTGTGGGGCTAAAGAATTTCCCTTGTACTCCTGAAAGCCTGTGTGATGTGCTGTCTATGGATTTCCCTTTTGAGGTAACAAAACCATTGTCTTTATTGCCTTGATGTGATGATAGGCTACAGAGATACTTAGTTACACAAAATCTTAAAATATACCCTGATTGTGCTGTGTCAAAGCATTAGAAAGGGACTGCAAGTGATTCTGGAGAAAGGATGAACTTGCTGCCCTTCAGAGCCTGAGCTCCACCCCTGCTGGATAAGTCAGAATGCTGGCACTGGAAGGGCCCTTACCAGACAACTCATCCAACTCTCTCATTTTACAGATGGAGAAACTGAGGCCCAGAGAGGGGCATTGCAGTGAGCTGAGATCTTGTCAGTGCACTGCACTCCAACCTGGGCAACAAGAGCGAAACTCCGTCTCAAAAAAAAAAAAATTGCCTAGTCACCGCAAGCATTTGCTTGAACTGGATAGATATATATTTTTTTAGGATGGAATTCACTCTGTCACCCAGGCTACAGTGCAATGGCATGATGTCAGCTCATTGCAACCTCCACCTCCCAGGTTCAAGTGATTCTTCTGCCTCAGCCTCCTGAATAGCTGGGATTACAGGCGCGTGCCACCATGCCTGGCTACTTTTTGTATTTTTAGTAGAGACAGGGTTTTACCATGTTGGTCAGGCTGGTCTCAAACTCCTGCCTGATGATCCACCTGCCTCACTCTCCCAAAGTGCTTGGATTACAGGTGTGAGCCACTGTGCCCAGCCAAACTGGATATAATTTTGTAAAAGGACCACAGATTCCCGAATGAGGAAATGGCAAATGCTGAGTTGCCTGCATTTCTGGGAGTCAATTAAGAAGGTGGTAAGACCC